CCCCCCCCGCCCCCCCCCCCCCACACACATAGACACTCATGGAATCATTCTATAACCTTATAGGATCTTACTATTCAAGGAAGCAAACACAATATATCTCCTCTCTGGGGAGGAGAGAGATAGGCCTTCCCCCAGAGAGGAGAAAACCCACAGAAAAGGAAGCAGGAGAGGAAACCACTAACTGTTAGTTTCCAGGAGCATGTTTCTCACTCTGCCCCAGTCCTCCCCCAAGTCTCTCCCTTTCTTTAAGTGTCAAGGCCTGTTTTGCTCCTATATGCTTGCACTCCACCATGTTTTTCTGGAACTGTAGGTCTCTTGTGAGCAAGTGGTGAGGAAGAAAGAGAAGGTATGGTAGGGTAGGAGGGAGATTCAGGATATGGAGGCTGGAATATATCCAGTTTGGAGGATGTATTATTAAGCCATTTTTCAGCAGATCATAAAGAGTTTGACAGAACCTCGAAAATCAAGCTACTCTTCCTCTGCCTCCCTACTTATTTGTGTCCCCAAGGACTCCACTTACATTATTCCATCTGATCTTTGCTTTTTTTCTTCCATAATAGGACCAGCTACCATCCCCTCCAGGATCAGTGCAGCTCTATTCTGTGGCCATAAAAATCCCACCCTTCCCCGCTTCTCCCATCTTCAATCAATCAGTCAGAGAAGGACAAGGGGCACAGGAAGGGGCCCAGAATGGGGGCAGAAGTGGAAGTATTAAAGCTGACCAGGCTACTGAGGAGGAGCAGACCTCCCCCAGTGACCAGGCCCCTTGGCTCAGCTTCTTGTTTCCCTAGCACAAGGCCTGGTTGTCTCCCTTCCCATCCCCTGCCCTACCTTTCACCACTCTCTTCCCCCAATCTCAGTGTCCATTTCCAGGTCCCTGTCCTCCTGGAGTCTGGAAGGAATATGGAAAAAGGAATAAACGACCACCTTCACATTCTAAAATTCCCTCCCTAGACCCTCATGGGCTTGACCAAGCTGCTGATGTTGTTTCTCGTGTGAGGGAGGAGTGCGAGTGTCCTCTGATTAATGCAGCAGGGAAACTGAGGCAGGAAAGAAAAAATCCTGTGTTCAAAGAGACTGGCGGAGAAACGAGGAGGTTCCCAGGATTCCCTCTCTTTAACACCCCCATCCCTTATCCTCGAAGAGACCTGAGGATCTCCCCTCTGGACCTACTCCCTAGATCGTCGAGTCCCGCCCCCTCCAGTCCCCTCCCCAGGTTCAGGGCGGGGCGGGCCCG